TTTATGCAAACATCCGTCAAATAACGTAAAATTAAATTTCTATTGTGTCTTTTATTTAATATGTACATATTTTATAATCTTAAAAGAAATAAAAAATATCTTTACAATGGAATTTTAATGTCAAATTTAACATGATTTTTATGTAAAAAATATAGAAACGTGGAAGACAACGTTACTCTCACGGTAACAGAGAAGTGTAAAGTACTTTCTGTCTGAAAGTAATTTAAAGAAATTGAACGAAATAATTCAGGTAGGATATACTATTATATAATAATAATTAAATAAATTACTGAATAATTATATTTTAAGTATAAATTTTTTGTCTTTTTCTAATCTTTGATATTTTTTAAAGGCCCGTGTTCGGCAAATAGTGATATGGCCACGATGGCTGGCAGTGAATATACATCCGTAAAGGACTTTTACAGAGATAGGTCGATTTTCATAACTGGAGCAACAGGTTTTATGGGCAAGGTTCTTGTCGAGAAGCTACTGAGATCCTGTCCGGATATCAAAAACATCTATCTTCTAATGAGACCTAAAAAGGGCCAAAATGTGCAAGAGAGGTTACAAGAACTTTTAAACGGACCGGTAAATATTATTTTTCTTTTTCATCATTTATTTTGATCATTTCCGAAAAAATTAAAATCACATTATTTTCGGCAGCTTTTTGAAAAATTACGGCGGGATTCTCCTGGCGAACTTTCCAAAATCATACCTGTAGCTGGCGATATTACGGAGCCAGAATTGGGCATTTCAGCAGATGATCAAAATATGTTAATAAGATCCGTGTCGATCGTTTTTCATTCAGCGGCTACCGTCAAATTTGACGAGGCTTTGAAGCTCTCAGTTACCATAAATATGTTGGGCACCAAAAGATTGGTTCAATTATGCAACCGCATGCATAATGTGGAGGTAAGAGATTGTTTTTCTTCTAATTGTTCAATTCAACCGAAACGCCACATTGAGCCGAGATTAGTTTGCAGTTGTAAATCGAATTTGCGTAATAAAAGATTAATCTGTGGCGATTTCTTTTTTACAAATGTGCTCTTTACGAAAGATTACAGTGTCTTTTGTCTATGGATGGTTTACACCTCTACTTCTTCTCGAAAGATGCACATTCGAGATATATACTCTCGAAAATCTTTCGAATGCTTCGTTTTATTTGTCGTATGATGTACCACATCGATTTTTAATTAATCGACAACTAATCTGTCTAAGTTTCTGCTTAATAGCGAAATACATTCGATTTGTGTCAACAAATTTCAAAAGGTAAATAGAGCCGGTTTATGTACGAGTGTATTTGTACTCTGCACTCTAATTGTATCGCGCGATTCTATCCTAAATCATACATCGATCGTTCATCATTTAACAATCTCACATGAATTTAACAATTCATTTGTTTTTATGATAGTAATAGATTAATCAATGAATTAGTGCAAATGAAATATGACGAAAGTGTCAAAGTAATACTATGAAAGTTTCAAAAGATGTTTTAAATTAAAGACATAAATATCTTATTATTTTATGCATACGCATTTTATATTCAAATGAAGCGTTTGAAAAGTCGCAAGTGATTGTCTTTGATGACTTCCATGATTTCTTTTGGTTTTATGTAACAGTCAGCGAGCAGAGAGTTTGTACAACTTAATATTTATTGCACTGTATAATTGATCATCAGACAATGATATTTGTTCTTTTTTAAAGTATTTTTCTTTTCTTTTTCTTAAGTGTTCAAACTTTGTTTAAAACTTTCCCCGTCAACACATTTTTACGCATTATCATCATTAGGAGCGCACGTTCGATCGACACAAGGCAAAAGATGGGCGTTCATAGTCTATACCTTTCGCAATGTGTATGTATAAGAATGTAAATGTAATTGTTTGATCGTAGGCATTCATTCATGTATCAACGGCATACTGCAATTGTGATCGGAACGATGTTGCCGAAGAGATTTATCCGGTAGGACGGGAACCCGATCAGGTGATCGCTCTGACAGAGTGGATGGATGACAAAATGTTTGAAGAATTTACACCGAATCTGATCGCCAGCCGACCAAATACGTACACATTTACCAAAGCATTGGCCGAGCGAATGCTCCAGCGGGAAAAGGGTTCTTTACCGGTGGCGATTGTCAGGCCATCGATCGTATTGTCGTCGTATAGAGAACCAGTTGCCGGTTGGGTGGACAATTGTAACGGCCCCACAGGGATTATCGCCGCCGCTGGGAAAGGTTTCTTCAGGTAATCACGACGACTAGCCATCATTAACGATTATGACATCAGTATATTATAATTAAATGAGAATATTTTTCTTCTTAGTATATTCCCCGGGTTTGATTTTCTGACCCCATTTTTGAAGGGTTACAGTACTATGCGTATCAATTTAACTTTAGAACCTCTTCGGGGAGCAGAGGCTCGCTTGTGTTTTAGCATTTGGCAGTAGTTTACATTCTTACTCCTTAGAGTTTGTTAACACCCGTGAGGATCTACAGTTTAACGCCGAATCCGAATGACGAACATGAAAAATCGCGTATATGGGGCGCAGGTGGGATCGAATCCGGATCCATAGATCACGAATCAATCGCACTGATAAGCGGCGAGCCACTCGGCGTCCCAATGAGAATAATTATTATTGAAGATATTGTTATTTTAGTAGCATGATGGCTCATAATCTTTGTAAATTATTATTTTCGAATAAATTTATCTTAGAAATCGCGGTTTCTTGCAGAACTATGCTGTGTCACGAGGATAAGGTGGCGGATCTGGTGCCCGTCGACATTGTGATCAACCTAATGATTTGCGCGGCATGGAGGACCGCTACGCAGCGTACCGACACCATTCCGATTTATAACTGTTGCACCGGTCAACAAAATCCTATAACCTGGAAGCAGTTCGTCGACTTGTCATTCAAATATTGTCGGCTACACCCGGTGAACGATGCGCTCTGGTATCCGGACGGTCGATGTCGCAGCTCCATGATAATAAACAAATTGTGCGTGATATTTCAGCATACGCTACCTGCGTATATCTTAGATATCCTCGCTCGACTCAAGGGTTCGCGGCCTATAATGGTCCGCGTACAGACGAAACTTTCCAAAGCCGCCAAGTGTTTGGAGTACTTCAGTACGAAACAGTGGAATTTTAGAGACGACAACGTACGACGACTGGGTGAACAACTCAGTCCGGAGGATCGGGAAACATTCATGTTTGACGTCAGAGAAATTTACTGGCCATCGTACTTGGAGCATTACATTCTGGGTATACGACAGTTTATCTTAAAAGAGAGTCCAGACACACTGCCAGCTGCTCGTTCATACATCACAAAGTAAGATATATCTTTTCGCTTTTCAATCTTTTTATGTTACAGTATTTTATAGTACAGTCTCCCTAAGAGACAGAACTCTTTCCTAGAGTCTGTTCGCAGAGTATTTATATACTATCAGAAAAATTTTGAAGAATGAAGAATTGAAAATTAGGAATTTTCATAGAATTTTATTGATACTCGAAATAATTTTTGGATTTTTACTTTAAATTTAAATTTTGTCTCTTCCTGAAAAAATTATTTCTTTGATTATTTTTTTATAATACAAATTATTGACAATCGGTTAGTAATAATATGCCCTATACATCCGTACATTTATATGCATTCTCTTGTATAAAGTTTTATTAAAAGTTTTATTTAAAAAAAATCAGAATAACTGAAAACAATACACAGGAAAACAAATATAACGTTCATTGGTACTAACACTGTAGTGAGCTTTTGCTCTTATCTTATAGATTTTACTTTACTTGTATGAAAATGATAGACATTATTCTGTGTGGAATCGATTCTACTCATTTACGATATGTTCGCATTGCCTGCACTCTTAATTTAATACATTTTTAATACATTAAAAATCTCTCTAATTTTATCTGAAATTTTTTATTAAAAAAATATTTAAAAATTTTTTATTAAAAAAATATTTAAAAATCGAAAAATTCTCAAAGACAAGATTTGAGTAAACCTTCTAGTTCGGAAGTTAGAATCAATATTAAAAACTCTTGAATTATCCGCAATATTTTAATGTTTTCATAATAGAATACTAGAAAATTTATATATATATATATTTTTTTAGAATTCTCCTTATAGAGTATATATCATATTATTAGAGTTTGTGTCCTTTCTTTCTACGCACGTTTCCTTTTCTTTCATTTTTGTTCCACTTATTTGATAAATAAATAACTTAAATGTATGTTGTTACAAATCATGATTTAAAAATTAATTTAGCAACTTTATTTATTTATTTTTTTTTAATAGAAGGCTATATATCATTCTTCGAATCTTGATTTATTTCCTTATCTATTTACAGACTGTATTGGCTTCACAAAGCCGTGCAATTCGGGATACTAGTAATAATGCTACGAGTCCTGTTGTTACGCAAGTCTGCAGCGCGAGGAGCCTTTTTTTCGCTGCTGTCCATCGTACTTCGCATGTGCCGCTTGATTGTTTGACGGCTCAGAACGAGCCCGATCGATGATCGCGATCAGCGTAAAACAAAGCTGTTAACCAGCGGCCGTTATTTAAAGGTGCGATTTGTTCTTCAACCTCGTTGCTCAGCTTCCTCGACGATAAAGCGCTACCTACACATCCATCGATTGGCCTTTTCGATGTTGATAACCGTCGACAAGTAACAACGCCGGTTACAGATACTTGATTCTCGAAAGAGATCGGTTATGATTCGATTGGAAGTATCCAATTGATGAAACTGTTTCTCCCACGAGTATATAAGTACGCTCCAAACACTTTGCATATATTATAATAATTATTATTACATTACCGATGTTATTTCTTGTTGCCCCAATGCGAACCGTCGCGACCGTCATGAAAATTGATGGTTGTCGAGTTCCGTATAGTGACGTAATCGTCATTGCGAGGTTCCATTACACTAGAATAAAAATAAACGCGCATCACCATGATTATTTCGTTAGCGTCATCGTACATCAATATACTTTGCACAATGTCAATTTCTAATAAATGAAAGGAGCCAAGTTATATCGGCACACACACGCGCACACGCGCGCACGCGCACACACACACACACACACACACACACACACACACACACACACTCGATCATTGTTAACGCAAGCTCGTTTTTAGTCGAGCTGATCGATTTTTAGTAAAACGCTCGCGAGAAACCATCATTCTCATAATACGGCGCCAAAAATCCGTCGTGTTTTTATATAGTCGGTATTTGACATTCTTTTTCCTTTTTACTCTGTGACATAAGATACCTAGATAGATATTTTGCTACGACCGTACGATGACTCGCGGTCACGCGTACAAAGACGAGAAAATTGCTATCGACTTCGAAGTAAACACATGCAAGATATTTGATTACGTAGAAACGACACCGTATAATAGAGATGTTAGAACAAATATAAGTGCATACCGTTGCGGCAACAAATATATAGCTTTTTTTTTTAAACTGCCACTGATATGCGAAATGCTTTTAACTATTTTAAACATATCTTGACCAGAACAATGAGAGATCAACATCATTACGAAGACTTGTTTTAAAAAAATCTGCGCTACAATTACAGTCTATTTTAATGAAATATCTCTACGTATCTTATACATATTGTCACAGAATCAACATTTGACAAATTTTGAAGGCATTGGCAACTTAATGAACTATCTGAAGCTATCAATCTAATATACGATACAAAAATATAACCATTGAAATGTAAATTAGAGTCATTGAAAATTTATGTAGAAATATACGTATAAAAATTCAGAGATAAATTGCCAATTGATGACGATAAAACATCAATTTTAAGTTTCATCCGATATATATTTACAATACATCTTGAAAATAATATATAAAATAGTGAGCAAGATAATTAGCAGTATGTCAAGTATACACTTTGTCAAATATATTCAAGCGGAACATCACAGCAGATTGACTGCATTTGAATCAGTTCACTTTCTGCTAACTTCGCTATAATCTTGAAAGCTGATAAATTGCAGATGTAGACTACTTACAAGTAATTTACCAGATCATCAAAAATCGCGAATGAAATGGAATACATTATTTGATTGGTCAAGGAGTAATATATTCTTTTTGGTTTCTGCCATATTGTCAAACGACAAAACTTATAGCAGTAATTTTGCAAAATGCACTTTCGATAATTTCATTGTCTGGATATTTGTGGAAGATCGTTTCATGTCTAAAAATATGATTAATTCTCTCGATAGTTGTACTTTTGAACTGATAATTCATCATTGCCCATGCCTTCGAGATGACGGTGATATACTGTCTTGTTTTATTTAGTCAATCACCCCTTTAAACTAATTTATAAAATCAGAGCGAGCTTCTCCCTTTCTGTTTTAAAATCAATGCTGTCGTGCTTCGAGAATAAGAGATAACTTGAAAATAATAAGCATAAATGTAACGGAATATCCGTATTAATTAACAACATACAAAAATGACAAATAATCTTAATTTTGCGCCAAGGAGTAAAAGAAGGGTAGTGCTACGAAGGTCTCCTTCTACTAGTCTCATCTGTATTGTTATTCGGTTACACAGCGCATACAAAAAATAATATTTAATATGTATAATTAATTTAATTAATATTATACTATGCTACCACATACAAAAATTACATTAAAAATAATGAATCATTATGAATAAGTGTTTCGCTCTCTCTTTCCTTATTATCCTAGAAATAAAGTCAAATAGATTTATTTATTAATGAAATTTTGTATTTATTAATAAGAAATCTATTTCATTACTCTTAAAAAGAAGAATATATTACGTACTTTTTATTGTATTATAACATAATGTGAAATTAACTAAAAAAAAATTGATAACGTTTATCGTGTGTGTGAAACTGGCGTC